GAAATATTTTACATACGGAATAAAATATACAAGATCAATAAACATTAAAACTGTTGTTACGAGTGCTGATCTTGATCCTAAAAATAAAATATTTATTTTTTTCGATATATTTATAAATTTTATTTTACCAAAAAGAACATCTTCACGATATGGCGTACATGTTATAGGTTTTCTTTGAAGTTCAAATGTAATATTTCTATTCGTTTGATAACCAATAAGTAATGAATCAATAAACATTTTTACATCACTAAATTCAGGTAATGTTGAATCTTCAAAATAATAACTAACACGATCACCTATACTAGATCGATCAGAAATAGATGCTAAATATAATTCAAATTTAATCTGATATAAGTAAAATTATCTTTAGATTATTTACATGGATGTAAAAATGATAGAAATGATAGATCAATTGGATCAGTTTTAGGAATAATACTTGGCATACGAACCATTATGTTATCTATATGTAAATATATGCAGATTGATTATATTTTTATTCTTTAAATACTTACAGTCAAGATTATGCCCATTTTTTAAATTAGATGTTGAACCAAAATTAATAATAACTATATTTTCTGTATCATTTTGTAATAGGTGAATATCATTTTCAATATCGATATTTTGATTCCTGTAATAAAAGCCTTTTTTTATGAGTATAATTAATTAGTTGTATCAACTTACCGAACTTTTGTATTTTTACAATTCATATTTTTCAAACGTGTTTTAGCATGTTTAACAAGAACATTTGTATCATTTGTTCTTGGTTGAAATATAAAATTTGTTTGTGAATAGAAAAGTCTATATCCACGTTGTTTATAACTTGGTGGAAATTTGAAACAGTTTTTTATTGAATTTGTTGATAAACTTGTCGGTATTGTTGAATTTTGATCTTGTGAACATTGAGAACGATGATCAAAATTTCTTGGGCCAGAATAAGAATTTTTATTCATTTCTTCAAAAAGTGCATTAGTTCCATAACGTGTTAAAGCTACTAATCCAATAAGAATTAATGGAAATAATAGTTCACAAAATATTGTTGGACAACATCGACAACATCGTTGTCGATATGAGTAACGAAATGAACGTTGAAGTAATAAATTAAGTTTACGCGATGAACCAATAGGTGAATATTCAGCTTTTGTGACATGTTGATGTTGTTTTCGTCGTTCTGACTCATTTGTATTTATTGGATCATATAAACCTAATTTCAATGAGGAATCCATTGTATGTTTCATGTCAATCGAAGCTTCCAATAGATCTATAAGAATTAAGCAATAAATATAAGAATATTCTCGGTATCAATTCAATTCTTGAGCAACAAAATCAGGATTATGATCGATGGCAATCTTTCAAATCA